TTATTTGCTGCGAAGGCCATTATATCGACCTTAGAACTTAAAAAATGATGAATTTAAATGGAACTGCTGATATTCTTTTTTCATCAACTTGTTTATCAATAATTTACCTCGTTTTAGAAATTGTTCATATGTAGAGCATGCCAAAATACGATCCAATGGTATGGTTTATTAATACGTTAAATTTAGATTTCTTAAAGAAATTAAAGTTTTAAAAATTAGATAATATTAATCAATTCGATAGTTAAAAATGGATTATAAACTGAAAAATAATATCCCAAATTACGTGAAATAACAATACCATAAAAGTAAGAAGTTGGTTGCAAAAGGTGAAGAGCGCAAATTACTTTTTAAAACTGGTTTTCTGTTGAACAATGAAAAACATATTGTATTTTCTTTGTGCTTTGTTACGTTACATAAAATCAAATTGAAACAGTGTTACTTTAATCTGTGTCAGAAAAAAATGCGTGAGCTTAAAAAAATACGCAATGATACATGGGATAACTTTTATAAGGTATAACCCCAAAACGTATTTTAAAAGGTAGCTGACGGACAACAATTAAACTTACTTAGGGTTTTTCCATACATATCTGGCATCTGACATTAGTTTCTGTTCTGACCATTGTCTATCTAGAGTCTAACACTAAATCAATCCAGAAAAAAAAATATGGACTAATCAATGATTCTACTTATTCTAGCAATCTGCAAATGATAAAATATGAACGAGTATTAAGAAAAGTTTGTATGTTTATGTTTGCAATATACCTTGCTAAAATTTTATTCTGTATTTGTAGAAAATCTTCATTAAACATATTTGTATCTGAGTAAATGCATGATTAAAATACTGCAGTGATACAGTATATATAAGTTAAAGTCGTCTATATTAAGTGCACAAATTTCAAAAATATATGAAGTGATGGAAGTGGAAATGAACTTTTTTAATTATCTTAATGATGAGAAGTAATCCTACTTATAAAAAAAAATATTGATCCACCTTGGTTTAAAATTCAGATGGGGTAAAGTAGCCGTGTTTACAATTATCATTCGATCGTTAAAATTCTTCCTTTTTACACGCACTATTTTGACGCACTAATTTGAATAATCTTGTCCTTGACTTTATCAAAAAGGCTTTTTTCATTAGTTTGTATTCAGCTGTAAAGTTTGGTACAATTTTTGGAATGAGTAAAATAAATTATATATGAATCTTTACCGCCCGATGATGTTTGTAAGATATTTCGATAATTGAAGTCTTAGATTGTTCAGAAGGGACATTGTCCCCAAAAATATCATTACATAGACCAAATATATGATGATGAAACATTGTTTCCAATGATTGTTTTCAGAAATGATAACTAAAAAATGGTAGTTAAGACCGTTCATATGTTCTAAAACTTAAATATATCAATAAAGCTCTCTTTAGAACTTGGAATTTACGACTAGATCTAAATAAAGAAACAGCAAATATAATTTTTATTATGAGCCAACCATTGATTTTGATCTAAAAAATATCAATAGAGCATATTGATTGCATTTCACGAGGATCTTTAAACCTTGACAAGAATTGTCTTCAAAAAATAAATCATAATTGAACTTCCTGGTTAATTTGAAAGCTCATTCCTATGACTGATACCTTTAAATAGGCACATGTAAAACTTGTAGTCAGAGTGATCTTATAATTAATTTTAATTCAATCGGTTAGACTCGATCGTGTGCATGTTTTTTTCAAACATCCCACAGGAACAATTAAAATGTAAATAACACTTATAGGATTAAACTGATGAGATCTTTTTATTTCAATTTTAATAAGATAACGGTATCCACGCTTTAAATACATTTATGTCTTCTAATGCTTATAGGCAAGATCACCGCAGCTTGTTTTTGCTAATTTTGTAAAAGTCAAATAAAACACTTTCATGTTGATGAATAATGTCATTTATTAAAATGACGATATAAATGTGAACAATTTAACAAACAAGAAGGGGGATCAGATTCACAAGCTTTGCTTATCAGTTACGTAAAATATGATAATGTCTGATCCCCCAAAAATGACTAGAAAAAAGTATCTGTAAGACAAGACAACCAAAACATCATATTAAAAAGTTAGCAAATAGATGGCACATAAAAACAAAATAGGCAAACATCACAAGAAAAAGTTGGCAAAAAGATGGTACATCAAAGACACAATCAAAACTTCAGAAGAAAAAGCTTGCAAAAAGATCGTAATCAAAACCAAATACATAGAAGCAGTAAAACAATTGAGTAAAAACTATAATATAATATAAATTTTACAAGAAATTAATGATCATATTAAGGGATAGGAATGCTGGGGTGGAGGTGGGTCTTCAAAATAGACGTGCTTCATGTTAGCGTTGGTGAGCGCGCGAGTGTGAATGACTCGCTGAGCTAACCACGTGACCTTACACATTCTATTACAATTAATCCCTCAGGCAAGGCGTGGATCTGAGAATTTTCACAATTTACAAACGTAAATGTTTCCGGAAACCTCCAAACAAATTATCGCATTAAATACATAAATACAATTATTATTCTAATAATTGTTTTTTTATGTCTTCTAATGCTTATAGGCAAGATCACCGCAGCTTGTTTTTGCTAATTTTGTAAAAGTCAAATAAAACACTTTCATGTTGATGAATAATGTCATTTATTAAAATGACGATATAAATGTGAACAATTTAACAAACAAGAAGGGGGATCAGATTCACAAGCTTTGCTTATCAGTTACGTAAAATATGATAATGTCTGATCCCCCAAAAATGACTAGAAAAAAGTATCTGTAAGACAAGACAATCAAAACATCATATTAAAAAGTTAGCAAATAGATGGCACATCAAAACAAAATAGGCCACAAGATGTGATATGCAGGTCACATCCATGTAAGATGTGACATGTAAATCACATCCGTGCCATCCAAGGTGAGCTTGCACACATCAAATCTATATGAAGGCAGTTAATCACTGGCCTCTCCACACATTTCAACTTAAAGTAATGAAATGAAAAATAAAAATCTACCTTTCATTAATTATTCCGTTACCAGTTATCACGAAAATGTAGTTACATGTCATATAATGAAGGAAATACCTGTATTGATATAATATCCGAGCAATGTTAATAAATAACGATATTGAGTAATACATGTAAGTATGGAAGAAAACTAATTTCAGAGTAATTAAATGACAAATCGAAAAGTATTGTTTATTGAGCCAGCAAGTAACGAAGTCAGATGAGGAGTATTTAGATATCCAACAGCAGTTATTCACTGACCTGTCAATGTGGGAATGAACATGTTCCTTAAGGTATTTTTAATTGTAAGAGTAGAACAAAAACAGCAGTTAAATAACTGACCTGTATTTACATTACATCTTTAGTGAGTATCAAAATATTTATCGCGAGTATAACAAAACAGCAGTTAAATCACTGACCTGCATTTAAATTACATCCTAATATCTAACTAATTTTCACGAGTAGAACAAAACAGCAGTTAAATCACTGACCTGTATTTAAATACATCCTAGTATCTAACTATTTATCATGAATAGAACAGAACTGCAGTTAAACACTGACTCGCAATTAAACTACATTCTAGAATCGGACTAATGGGAGTAGAACAAAAACAGCTATTAAATGCTAGATTTTTATTGATATTATTATTATTTTTTATTTATTTATTTATTTTTTGTTTTTTTTTAAGAAGAACAAAACAATAATTACCATTGACCAATATTTGATCTTCATTCTTGTATGTTACAGATTATGTGAACTTATTAAGTTTAAGTGATTTTAAGCAAATATATCTATGCAATGCATTTGAACTGTTGTCCTTCAAAATCCTAATAGAGATTTCTGAACAGTTTGTCTGTGTCTCATGAGTAGCTTACCATATACACATTTGCAAAAGATCCAGACTTACAGATTTCCCTGCTTTGAAAAATTATTATATTATGCTAGCGGCCGGGGGCTATCTATCGAGAGCATGCATATTTCCAGATCTGTCCCTGACAATGACAATGTGAAACATATCTTAATGAATTATCTAAATGATGTGTAGCACTTTGTTAATTTAGTAGTTTCAATTATTATCAGGATTAATGGTTGAGATCTATTATGTCAACAAACTTAAATTTTGACAAATTCAACCTAGTGATGAGTGAGAATGCTTTTAGTAAAAGAAGTATTTTATTCATAATATACAAAGTGTACAATATGAATATGGATTGAACAGCAGGCCAAGGGCCTGTATTAGTTCTCTCCTTTTGATATCAAGGTACAATTAAATTACTGTACATACTTAAGTTCCACAAAACATGTATAATAAATTGATATTGAGAGAATTATGAAAAATACATGATTGAAGAAGAATCATGTTGAGAGTGCTCATGTGTAGGACACTAGGTCAGATATCATTCTACTTACTACAACCTTGAATTATTTAACTTTATATAAGTGAGTGTTTATTTTATTTATTTATTTATTTATTTATTTATTTTTTGTAAACCATTAAGAGTATCTTCCAAATTGTAATATTTTAAAGATTTGTATCAGAAATTCAACAAATATAAACAACCCCAAAATATTTGCATAACAGCCCTTTCTCTTGGAACTGTCTGACCCAAAAGAGTGTATCCATTAATTCCATGAAGTATGCCCTTTTCATGGAGGAATCTACCATACTTCTATTCCAGAAAGTATAAAGAAGTTGTACACAGTGAAGGTTAAATTATTATGTTCCTAAGCGTTTTGAATTGAATGTAAAATTCCTGGATTATACTAAGTTCACCATGTAATATTGTGTCAATTGAAAAGTCGGTTCTAAAGTTTAGAATTTATTGTAAGTCCAAAAATCTAAATTTCACAAATATAATTTGGAACAAATTTCGTAGATAGACTACAAAACTGAATAACACAAGAATGTTCCTAGATTGCCTTCCTTACAAACTCACAAATCTGTTCTTTGACAACTCTGCCTACTTTCATACTGACCGGCCAATTAAAATTAAGGATAGAAAATATCATGAACATAGGGAATCTGTAAGACATTAATTTACCACACTGAAATTAGGTAGAGCGAAGCATAGCAAATTCAAAGAACGCAATCCTAGGATGTAACCATAAATTTGATAACAAGATTGAGTTAATAACATTGCTATCGTCAGACAGGAAAGAGATGTCAAGAATGAAATACTGCCACCATGTGCAAAAATGCCTTTCCTAAATATCAAAAGAAAACGATTATCTTTCAACTACAGATGTCAAACAAGACCGAAAATTAATAGAATTTTTATATAAAAATATGTTGGAGAAAATTTTACATGGGGTTTATTAAAGCAAATTAATATTTAAAGATAAAGACCGCAGAAACGTACAATGTACAACATGAGCTAGTAACTCCAAACAATGTCCTACATTATGCTGTCTATTAGAAACTTTTTAAAATAATTTATTATTATTATTATTATTATTATTGTATTCTAGCCTGACAATGCTTAATTTCCGAAAAGGGACGTAAATTGAAAATCCTTTCATTTAATGTACTGACCGTGCATGGGGTCTGTACTAATTTATAAAAATAAATTAAACCTATATTTACCAGCTATATAGGGAACTTATTTGAAATTTTATGGAGGGGGGATCTTCCTATATTATTTACTTGCTGACTAGCCTGTAAATGTTTTATTTGAAACCAAATTGAATGATCTAGCTGGTATGGATGCTTTGTGAACCAACGCTAGTGGATATCCTGATTACACGGCTGATTTGGGGCACACCTGTAGCAGCACTGCAGCAGTTTAGCTAGCAAACATATGGATCTTATACCGGCTGATCGCATGAAAGTTGTTGGTAAAGTCAAATTGTATCTGGAATAACACTAGTGGACGGGCTGGTTTAGGACATTATCCACCGGTGGCGCGGATCTTATGCAATTTGTTAGATAAAACAGCTCGCTAAGTCAATATTTGTTAAACAGATCAAACCTGTATCAATAACATTAGATTCATGGCATCCGGCACAATTCTGCTAGGCTCTCTGGGCTATTAACAGTTATAGCTACGCTTCCTCTACACTCGGGCTGCTAGGATGTAGCAAATATGCACACTGGCAAATTCATCAAAAGGCATCTGCAACTTAAACATGAAAATTATATGAATACTTTTTAAGTCTAAGGTGTCATTTAAAGAAAGGACGCCAAAAACCAACAACTGAGTTGTAAACAAAGTGATACATCATGTACATTATCATGCTCATAGAAAAACTAAATGTAACAACCTTGAACAGAAAGAGTAAACTTTTTCCTGTAGACTAACCTTGATAGCAATATATATTGTATTACAATCATACTGATAATAATCGATTAATTCTCTGCTAAGAGGATTCGCTTTGACGAAAATCTACATGTTCCGGGATTCTACCAATTTCATCAAACGAAATATTAAAGAATAAATCTATTAACTCCATAACAAAAGATAAAAATGTCACATGTATAGGAGATACCACTATTTGTAACACGTACTTTGTAACAACTAAGAACTATTGTGATACTCTTACTTGAAATTGACTGCAATGAACATGAAATGAAGTTGCCATTATGTTTAGATGTAATAGGGCACATATACTTTAAAACAAAACAGTGAAAATATGGATAACTTCGACCCATATGCATACATATAAACTCCGCACAAAACATGAAGATCAAGCGTACGGGTAACTCTAAACTAAGTGAAATCCTGCTACATTAGACGCAAATGTCATAATGTGCAAACAAATACATAACTACCTCTTATTGGTATATATGTAAAATCTACAAGTATACTAGGAACAAACTCCTTTAACATAGGTATGCCAATGCACAAAGAATTTAAGCCATTGATCTTGGTAAGTTTCATTTCTTCGACCACAGTTTAAGTCGTGTTAACTTAAAAAATCTCCAAATCAAAAAATCTAACACGACATAAACTGTTACTGGTACAAAGAAACCCTTAGCCTTGTACTTATCTTATACATGTGGATAGGTACAAATAAATAATGAACCCTAGACTCCCACACAATAAGAACATATATGCGGCCTACTCTGTACTATTGCTAAACACCGTGGGTAGGCACATTTAAACTTTGTACCAAAAACTCCCACACAATAAGTACATGTATGCGGCCTACTCTGTTCTATTGTTAAACACCGTGGGTAGGCACAGATAAACTTGTACCCAAAACTCCCACACAATAAGTACATATATGCGGCCTACTCTGTACTATTGTCAAACAACGTGGGTAGGCACAGATAAACTTGTACCCAAAACTCCCACACAATAAGTACATATATGCGGCCTACTCTGTACTATTGCTAAACACCGTGGGTAGGCACAGATAAACTTTGTACCCAAAAACTCCCACACAATAAGTACATATATGCGGCCTACTCTGTACTATTGCTAAACACCGTGGGTAGGCACAGATAAACTTTGTACCCAAAAACTCCCACACAATAAGTACATGTATGCGGCCTACTCTGTACTATTGTCAAACAACGTGGGTAGGTTCATATATAAATTTATACCCCTACAAGTCCACACGATAAGTACATTAGGCCGAAATTATTTCGATCAATAATAAACATTTAACACTTATTCTTTCATTCCTTTCTTTACAATTAATCAAACATTGATTGTCACTTTATTTGCATATAGACGTACTGGTGTTTACAATGTAAAATAATTTTTTTTTCTTGAATAATAATAATAATAATAATTCAAGGCAATAACGTTGATTTTATAACGGCATTAAACTTAATTTTGAATATATAATAAACTGTAGCCCCTTTTAATTTTTTGTAAATGCTCGTTATTGATTTATTGGGTACTGCGACACTGATATGTGTACCATTAAAAATATAATTTTTCTGATCGTATTTTTACCCCGATAAAATTGTTTTACTTCTTTCTGTTCTTTTTAGATAACCATCCTCAGTGTTCATGTATGCTGGTGTTTTCATCTCAAGGTATGTAATACTTTACATTTTAATTACTTTTTGCCATTTCATATCAATAGCATTTGATTTCAAAAATCTACAAAATTTTGAGCATTTTACCTTAGATTTATTTTTTTTAAGCAAAAGCGAAATATTTTCCTTAGAGCAATTAATTTTGTTTTGGTTTCAAGAAAATACCTTCAAATTTTTCATAACAGTTAATGAGAATACATGTAACAATACATATTATTTTTCATTCAGCATCATTTCGTTTCTATTTTTCATAGGAATTTAACCCTAAAATTATGATTTATTTTGCTAGCACATAATAATTGTTATGCTCTTAATATGAGATTATCGTTAGCAATATACAAGCATAAAGAATTAT